CAAGGAGTTATTAAAGTGATGGAAAGATTTTAAGTAGGAATGAGTGGTTTGAATTCTCCTGCCTTTGCTAGGGCAGCTGATAACATCCTCAAAGGCTCATAATGCCTTGCCCTTATCTTTACATATATAAATCCTACTTATCACTCTTGGCCCTACTCAAAAGACTGTTTCTCAACAACATCCTCACCCACACCCTCACTGGCAGTTCGCAGTAATCTCTTGGTAAAACCTCTATAGCCTTTTTTCTTTAGCACTTACCACTCCCTGCTGCAGACCAGTTATTTACAGGCTGCTGTCTTCATTTCCTTAACTAGCACCCTTTTAGGGTACGGTCCACATCTTAACCTATGCTCATCACGTTATAGTTCACAAAGTGGCTTTCTAATTACAACATCACCATAAGTAAATATAGAGTTGATTTTCTCCCAAGTTAGCAGAAATCTACAAGTTTCAAGCTCTTTCCAAAAGTAATTTCTATCAGAGTATCATCTGCTGCCCTCCTGTGTTTGATACAAATATAATTTTAACCAGAACAAAAGAGAGTAACTGGCTCCATTAAATTTATTTGGACTACACTTTATTTTCAGATCCTTGAATAGATTTTTTTCCTTACAAATTATTACTCTTCCCATTAAAATTATCTTTATTCAAAATATTTCAAGTTACATTTTTACTTAGTTATATAAGAACTTTTCATGTTGCTCTCTCTCATAGTTCTTCAGTTTAATTTACTACATTTTTAACATTTCTTTTTTTTATCTAAAACAGTAACAGATTTCAAATTATTCTAATACAGTTTTTAGATATTAGACCTGTTTGGGGAACAGTATATTTAAGACTTTGTACTTTCAGTGTGTTTAAGACTTTGTACTTTGGAACAAAGAAGACCTGATTCAAACCCTCGCTTAGTCATATAGTAATTGTGACCTTGACCAAATTACTTTTCTGAACCTTTATCATCAGTAAAACAAAGATAATACCTCCCAAATATCACATGAAACAGTACACCATAAACGCTATCAATATTGGCTAGTATTACTATTTAGGAAGCATGTTTTGAAATATACCTTTTTTTTGGTATTACTGATTTTGGTGAAGTTGAAGACTGCAAGATAATTAATTAGCATAGGATATTATGATACCTTTCGATGTTCAATACTCAACAATTACTAAACACTTGCAATGTGTCAGGCACCAGTCTAAATACTTGAAACACATCAGGTAACCAAACAGACCCAAATCCTTGCCCTTGTGAAACCTAGCAATGTAAATCCTAGCCAGTTCATGAAGATCTCTCTAAATTACTAACTTCCTTTTAAATTCTTACCATTCTTATTGTCCATGTTACTCTTTTGATCCTTTCTATAAGCTAACCCATACCCTATATCGAGTTCCTTCCTCTCTCTCTCCAGTGAAGGTGGTCATCTCTCTTGGTCTCCTGCTACAGCCTCTAACTCAGGACAGGGGCTCCCTCTCGTGCCACGTTGTATACCTTTAACACGTTTTATAAGGATGGGGTTTTACAGTTTGACTCTCTCCTACTCTTTAAAGGGGGGAGCATTAGTGTTGATAATTTTATTTAATCACTGACAATTACAATCTATTCTCTTTTATATTACCTCTCTATTCTCAGCATAGCAATCAGAGGGATCCTCTGAAATAGTTCAGCTGTTTCTCTTGAAATGGTGTCCCATTTCATTCATGTTTTTGAGAAAATGTCTGTCAAATACTCAAGTGTGAATAACCATACAGGGGTGGGAAAAATTAGGTTTACAGTTGTTCATATATAAAAAGACTTGCAGGCTATGACTATTACAATAGGTTTATTAACTCTAAAGAATGTCAGAATGTCACAAGGTAAACCTACTTTTGCATACCCCTGCTTACCCCTGTAGTCTATTTACTATTAGTCTATCCTATATATTTTTTCCCCCAAGTAAAAATGGGGGAAAGAAATTTCAGGAAATTCATGAAGTCAATGCTATTTTCATAATTCTAAGATTTTGCCAGTTTCACTGCATTAAAATTTGTACAGATGGCACTAAAGCAACTGCAAGTAAAACTACTAGCATGAATCAAGGCAGCAGCAATAAACTACTAGTATTCATTGTATTCTCTACTGCCACAAACGTCTTAATAAAACAAAGAAAACCCAAGTATCAACTGTTTCACTTAAAAATGTTCTTGATGAAGCAGTAATAGTATTGATTTTATGACATCTTTTTCAGGTTTTCATGGGAAAAAATTGGTAGTACGTATAAAGCGTTTTTGCTGCCACTGAAGTACAGCAATTTTCTCAAAGGAAAGCACTATTTGAGTTGCAAACTTAACTGGCTTTTTCTCAAGAATACCATTTTCACTTTTAAGAATGACAAACTATAATTATTCAGAATTATTTAACAGACATTTTCTTAAAAACAAACTAAGAGGGCCTGTCACTTCAAGGAAAACGACAGATAGTATTTGCTACCAGTGATCAAATTTAGGCTATCACGCAAAAACTTAAAATTGTGAAAAATTTACACTCTCACTCGGAGTTTTTCAGCTTTCCAATACTATTGGGTTGGCCAAAAAGTCTGTATGTTTTTTTCCGTAAAATAAAAGACACATTTTTCATTTTCATCAGTAACTTTATTGATTTGGATGTTTTGAGTATGTCAGCTATCTCCTGCATGGTGGAACACTGTTCCTGATTTGATTGCTATCAACTTCAACTGGCCTCCCTGACCATGGACCATTGTCCAGCGAGAAATCTCCAGTACAAAAGTTCACAAACCACTTCTGACATTCGATCAGTCACAGCACCTCCTCTATACACTGCACAAGTCTTTTTTGTATTTCAGTTGCCTTTTTACCTTTCTTGAAATAAAAAGCATAATACGCCAAAAATATTGCATATTTTCTTTCATCTTCAATATTAAAATGGCTCACAAAAATTCGTCAATTTTGGTAAGTTTTTAAAAAATGCACTGATGCCAGCTGTCACAATACAATCTAACAAAATTGTTTCCTATGAAGTTAAAGACAACAAAATGCAACTAGAGCCATCTTACGGAAAAACCAAACGAACTTTTTGACCAACCCTGTATTAGACTATTCTGATGAGCTCAATAATGATATTAATAAATGTGACTTGACTGTATAATGACGCATGTCAACATTTGGAAAGCCCATATAACTCAGTGAGCCAATACTTTCCAAAGGACTGACGCGTGATGTTGCAAAATCACATATGGGGAAAAGATTCATTCAGAGTTTAAGATGGATAATAAACTTTAATGAAATAAACAATGAAAAGTTCAAATTCCATGTTGTAATAAACTTTTAAGAAAATAGTACTTGTTGGGTTTTGCTGGAGTATCAAAGAATATCTACAATTATTTGAAAAAAGGTTATTAAAATATTTCTCCCTTACTACGTATTCATGTGAAGATTTTTTCATACCTCAACAATACTTCATATCCCAATAGTTTGAAGGCAGCAGCAGACAGGAGAATCCTACTGTCTTCTACTAAGGTAGACGTTGAAGATATCTACAAAATTTTTTTTTTAAACAAAAAGTTATTTTAAATAGAAACTTTTGTTAGCATGTGATGGCTTTATTACTGTTAAATTACTAATTTTTAAAAAAATTATTTATTTTCGAGAGAGGGGAAGGGAAGGGAGAGAGGGAGGGAAACATCAATGTGTGATTGCCTCTCATGCACTCCCTACTGGGGCACCTGGCCTGCAACTCAGGCATGTGCCCAGATTGGGAATAGAACCAGTGACCTTTTGGTTTGCAGGATGGCACTCAATCCACTGAGCCACACCACCTGGGAGCAAACGACTAAATATTTTTAAATTTTTTGTTTTACCTTCTAATTTGAATACCAACAGCTATAAACCTCATAAACAAAGGCTCCGTGAAATCTGCAAGAATTTGTAAGATTGTAATGGAATCCCAAGGCCTAAGTGAGAACCACTGATCTAAAGCTTGACAGATCTTTTCACTTAATCATCTTCCAGTGGCTCTCAATCTCCCTCAGGGTGACAAGCCAGAGCTGACCCATTACTTGTCCCTCTACTCTTTCCCTTGCTTACTCCCTCCTGCCATACTAGCCTTTTTGCTGTTGCTCCACCAAACCAGACACAATCCCAGCATTAGGACCATTGTACTGGCAGTTCCCTTTGGTAAGCAATTTCCCCAGTTTTCAGTATGGCTGTCTCCCTCACTTCCTGTCATTGCTCAAACCTCACCAACTCATTAGCCTAAGAGCACCCTGTTTAAAATTGCAATCCCACCTACTCCCATTCTCTACATACCATCTAACATTTGCTATGTCTAGCAGAGGTGTCCAATCCACGGCCCACAGGCCACACGTGGCCCGGAATGGCTATGAACGCAACCCAACACAAAATTGTAAATTTACTTAAAAAGTGTGGTTTTTTTTTTTGCTCATCAGTTATCGATAGTGTGTGTGTATTTAATGTGTGGCTCAGACACCAAAAGGTTGGACAACCCTGGTACAGTTTGTGGGGCCCCCCTCTTCCCCCACCAGTAGAAGACGCCCCCACCAAATGTGAAAATATATCCACTACAGTTGGGTTCAATAAATACTTGTTGAATGTGGAATTAATGAAAAAATTCTTTTGATACCTTGTCATCTCTCATGACGTACCCACAAAGTCCAGAGAAAAAAAGGATTCAATTTCTGAGAGGGGAGGGCAATGACTGAAAAGATTTTTTTTTTTTTTAATGGGAGAAAAAGAAGGTGGGATATAATTACCTCAAACCTCAATACTGATGGCATTATGGACCTGAAATTGGCTCTCGGGAGAAGTTAGGGTTCGAGAATTTTTTAAAGTGCAGGGTGGCCTTAAGTGTCTGGAAAAGAATGCTGCCCACCCCCCACCCCGGTTTCCTGCTCCGACTCCCAAAGAAACCGCAGTCCCCAGAACCTTCCCTGGACCCCTCCGCGTGAACACAAGTAGCCCACACAAAGAGACTGAATGTTGTCTAAACTTTATGGAAAAAAAATCAACGACAATCAGCCAAAATGAGCCTCCACATCGCGTCTCACTCCAGTGCAGTCTCTCCTAACGCTCGCTGGCTCTAGTATGTCCATGGTCACGGTTCTCAGGCGTCCTGACTGTCTCCCCAACGCTGTGTTCCGAAGGGTCCACATGAAGGCGGGTCAGGAGAGATGGCCGGAGTAAGCAAGCACCTTCTGTACAGGGAAAGGAGGAGAAGAAACCGTGGAGAATCGGTCCACCTGGGGCAGGGACACGCGCCCTTCCGTACAGCGCAGACAAGGCGGGACCTCAGTTCTCCTCAGGCTTGTCGGCTGGCGGTCCGCAAGGCTGCAACATCTTCTCCATCAGGTTGAAGCGGACTCGAGCTTTGCTCTCATTCTCCGCAATGGCGAAGTAGTTGAGAAGGTCGAAATGGCCCATGTAGGAGCAGTAGGAGTCGCGGTGCTGGTTCACCAGCCATTCCCACTTGGTGGTGTCGGCGTGGCCGGTGCCGATGTATTTGGACTGCAGGTGCTCCAGCTGGCTGTGGATGGTGTAGCGGTCCGTCATCTCGCCGCTTTCTTTGTAGCTCTCGGGTCACAGGCCGCGGACGAGAAAGAGCTCCTCTAGAATTTCACGCCGGAGAAGCACCGGTACACAGAAGCTCCGGACCGGTGCAGTCGCTGGCGAATGGCGTCACCGCGACGAAGCTGCGTGTCCTCGCGGTTCTAGGACTCAGAGACGGAAGCCGGATGTGTTTTCTGTCACGTAATTGGAGTTGCCTAGACGACGCCATAATTTGGCCGCCCCCTAACAAGAGCCCCGCCCTCTTTTGGAGAGCGTTGCATGATGGTCCATTTAATGGCCCCTTTTCTAACACGGAGCGTTGCATGCTGGGACTTGTGGTATGCAAAGTCTCCTGCAGGAGGCCCTTTCAGACCTGCCGCTTTTTAAGACGCCTTAAGCGCCTAATGGAGGGGCGTTCAGGAGGGAGGTAGTGTCCGTAAGCGGTTTGGGGCTGACAGGATATGGGAAACTCAAGTAGAACAAAAGGCAACTTGGGAAATGAACTGGGTATAATTTTGATTTCGGGGCTAATGTGGTTGCACGGTAGCCTTCACAACTAGAGGTACATCATCCTAAGTTAGGAGACGCGAGTTCTGGTCCTTACTAGTCGTGTGCAGTGAAAGTTAATGTCAGAGTTTGCAGGGCCACCGTTTCCTGCCCTTTGACCGTAACATAGTACCAGTTCCAGCACGTTCCGGCTTCCACTTCAAGCCCCTCCTTACTCTCGAGCTTGTAATAGTGATATCCTCCCTCCAACCCGTCACCCCACCGCAGCATCCCACCCGCCCCAGCCTATACTCCTCAACGTTCCGTGCTGCTCGCTTCTCCAGTTCTCTGTACAAGCTGTTCCCTCCGCTTGGAACGCTTTTGTACCCTTGGCAGACTTCTTCTCCCTTTGAGTCAGCTCAAAAGCATCTCCTTGAAATTGGCTTTGGCTGTTCCAAACAGATGTAAATTCTTCTTCCGCTTTGCAACTTGTATGTTGTTTCGTCTCTTCGTTATTACAATTTTCTTTACCCCCCCCTTTTTTTTTTGGTTTAACAACTTCGTCATGCTAATACAAACTTCTTGAGAAAGTATACTTTTTTTGTTATCTTTTATCGTATGCTTCTTTTGTGATATCCTCATAGCCTGGCACAGATTGTATGCTCAAAAAACATTTGATGAATGGATAAACAACTGTATGACCGCCAAACAGAAAGAACTCTTTACTGGGAGAAAGATAACTTTAAAAGAGTTTTATTCTGATGCATAGTTGTAGGTTGTAGATTATACTGCATTGAATAGTGGAAATGTTCTAAGTGTAGATTTCAGGTGCTCTCACCACACTTGGAGATGTTAATTACCTTGACTGTAGTAGTCATTTCATTATGTCGCACACCTTGAATATAAAGTTTTTATTTTTAAAAGGTTAAAAAAACAAATATTCCTTATGAGATTAAATACTTGTATCAAATATTTTTTAAAAAGTTTTATTCTTCGGATTAAACCTTGTTCTAACAAATGATTTCATTCCTAAAATCTAGAGACTATCATAAAGCATACGTGTGGATTCACCATCCAGATATATCAACCTTGCCATCTTGCCATTTTTTCCCCAAATCTGTTATTTTTTTTATTTAAAGAAATAAAATTATGGAGATAAACTTGAAGTTCTCTGTGTTCCTCTCCTTTATCTATTCACTTCAGGATACTATCTTGAATTTAAGGTTAATCATTCCTGAGCCTATTTTATTGATTGCTGATAGTTTGTGCATCCATAAATAATAGTGTTAGTGTTATGCATGTTTTAAAGCTTTATATAAATGACACCCCGTATACATTGTAATGAAAATTGCTTCCTTCCCCATTGTATCCATGCTGATGTATGTAATTTTAGTTCATTTTTACCACTGTGTAGTATGCTACTGAATTAACATACATACCATCACATGCTCATTTTCTCAATAATGGACATTTTATTTCATACTTTTATTGTAAGAAACAATGCTGCAAGAAATGTTCTGGTATATATATTCTTATACATTGAAGAAATTTCTTGGAAAATATGTAAAGGAATGAAGTTGAGGTAGAGGAATATCTTCAAGCTTTGCTTGATATTGCCAAATTGATCTCCAAATCAATTATAGCAATTTGGCTCTCCCACCAGCAAATGAGAATTCATTTTGATACATATCCCTCCCAAAACTTGGTGGCCTCAGACATTTAAAAATTTTCTCAAATTAGATGGGTGGAATGGAATTCCATTGTGCCTTTTATTTGCACATCTCTTTTTATTAGAGAGGCCGAGTATCTTTTTCATGTGTTTATTGGCCTATTATATTTCTCCTCTGTGAATTACATATATCTTGCCCATTTTCTTATTGGGAATTTGGGTGTTTGTTTTTTTTTTAACTAATTTTTTTAGAAGATATTTATATATTCAGGGTCCTAGTCTCATCAGTTTTATGCAATGGAAATCTTTGATATATTCATTTAATTTATTATCATTATTTTTAAATCTTATATTTCCTTAGGAAACAGCACTATTGAGTGTCTATTACATCCCATGGAGAATTTCAATCTTAGGTCACAACATTAAGAGCTCCTGTGACTTAAGTTCCCACAGGCCCTTTTTGAAATGACCTGTGTGAAAATATTTTTCCAGCCTGTGACTCAGCTTTACCCTTTTTTATGTAATCATTTCTTGTACAGAAGTTAAATTTGAAGTAGTCAAATGCATCATACTTCCTTTATGTTTTGTGCTTCTTGCATTTAGTTTAAAAAATGAAGTCAAGCAAAACTTTTCTACGCTTGGGCCATAAAAGATTTTTTTCATTATCATCTAAAAGTTTTAGAATTTTGATTTTTTATATTTATTGTTTCAATCCACTGGACGTTTTTGATTTGTTTTGCTCTAGAGCAGTGATTTTCAACTGGTATGTCTCAAGAATTTTTAAAACATGTAGTACCTGACTATTCAGTCAGGGGCACTGACCTCTTTTCCCTTAGATTGTCAAATAAAAAAATGAAAATAGCCAATACAACAACCATGCGGTGTGACTGAATCAAAATTATACCTATTTTTTTCGTCAGATCAGCAATAAAATGTTTTTCGGTGTGCCTTAGAATTTTGGTAATTAGTTTTTGTGTGCCAGAAGATGAAAAGGGATGAAAATCACTGCTCTAGGGATCTAATTTTTTAATACTTTCCTATATGGTTAACTAGATCCCAGTGATAACCAATCATTCATTAAACAGTCCATCCTTTTTGTACTCATCTTTAGTGCTTCCACCGTATGTGGATAAGCCTGTTTCTGGGTATTCTGTTCCATTAGTTCCTTAGTCTGTGCCCAGAGTAGTAGCACAAGACATCTTGATATCTGACAGAGTAAAAGCCTACACAATTTCCTTCTTTCATAAATATTTTAACATTTTTGAACCTTTGTTCTTCTACATGAATTTAGAATTGTCAGTAAAATCCTTATGGAAGTTGTGATTGACTCGTTAAACAAACCCATGGAAATTAATATTATTTCTGTATCATTAACAATGATTCTAAGGATATGTGAGAGTTCCTCAAATTCAAAGACCTGTAGAGATAGTTGGAAAATACATTCACATGTATTAATTAAGACCCAAGGTATACTAGTTTGCTAGGGCTCCCAAACAAACCACCGCAGACTGGGTGAATTCAACAAAAGAATTACCTTTCTCCCAATTAGGGGGGCTAAAAGTCCAAAGTCAAGGTGATGACAGGGTTGAGCGCATTTTGAGATCTCTCCTAGGCTTGCTAATGGCCACTTCCTCTCGTGTCATCACTTGGTTTTCCCTCTGTGTGTGTCTGTGTCCTAATCTCTTCCTATAAAGACACCGTCACATTGGGTTAGGGTTCGCCCATATGACCTTGTTTTGCCTTAATTACCTCTCTATAGGTTCTAGCCCCAAATGTAGTCACATTCTGAGTTACTAGGGGTTGGGACTTCAACACATGAATTTTGAGGTGACACAATTTAGCTGTGGAATATATAAAAGAGCTTGTTTTTTAAAATAAATTTTAAATTTAATTGATTAGCTGAGTGAAAATAGGTATGTGAACAGATTTTGTTGAAACAGGCAATTTCAATATTTACAAGGAAAAATGAAATATATTACATTAATAAGTGTGATTTAAAATGTTTAAGAGTTAAAATCTGGAGTGGAATTAAATTGTATTTAAAGGCCCCTTGAAAGTGATTGTCAAAATTTCCTAGATTTATCGTTAAGGATTTTTAGCTGAATTTAAAAGTTTAAGGAGAAATGCAGTTTTTAAAAATTTTATAACTTTAATAAATTGAACATTAATTTTTAAAACCTAAGTAAATCTTTGACAGTAGCTTCTGCATTGCCCCAAATGATCCTCAAAGGTGCGCATGTGCACACACATAAATCCTGCTTCAATTTAAATTATAATTACATTGAATTTAAAGACTTATTTGGGGAGAACTGTCATTTTAACTATATTGAGTTTTCTTACCTATGTACATAGTACATATTTCCATTTACTTATGTCTATTTTTTTTACTTTAAATAAAGCTTGTATAATTTTCATATAGGTCTTTCACACCTTCTGTTAGATTTATTCCTGGATATCTATATATACAGGGTAGGGCAAAAGTAGGTTTACAGTTGTGAGTATGTAAAACAGTTTATTCTTGTATTATTATTTATTAATTATTGTATTATTTTCCATATAAACAACTGTAAACCTACTTTTGCCCCACCCTGTATACTTAAAGATAGTCCTTATGAGTTTTAAATTATGACCTAGTAAGAAATACCACAATTTCTTTACACTTATTGTCAATACAGAAACTTGGTCTGGAACCAGTGAACTTGTTGCCGAGACATGCCAGGACAGCTGTTACTATTTCATGCTCCAAGATATAACCTCAAGTTAATCCTGTCTATTAGGTTCCCTCTATGTAACTATCAAATGTTGTCGTACAATTTGGCATTTGAGTAATAAAAAATATGCAAGAAAAGTTTCCATGGGAAAAAAGATATAGAACTTAAGATTTATAATAAAAAGTATGTTTTAGACAGAAAATTATATATTGGCTAGTCTATTTTTTTAATAGGCTAGAAATGCAAGGCAACATTTTCTCTTTTTTATCTTTCTTGTTCTTGTGCCGATGGCTTCAACTTTTTTAAAAAGTCACTTAATATTTGAACAGTAAAGGCATTATTCAAAACATAAAAGTATATAAAGGAATGCAGTTTCCAACATCTGCTCATTTCCCACGCCATTGCTATGTGTCTCTTGTGTATCCTAACAGAGATTTTTTTTAATGGATGAATAAGCAATTACAAATATATATGATATTTTAGCCCTTCTAAAATTCAGATTGAAGCAAAATGCTCAGTATAATTATGTACTTGGTTTTTTGTTTTTTATTCTTTGACATATAATGGAGGTTATCCCATATGAGTACATAAAGAGCTTCCTCATTTTTTTGTCCTCTTTTACAGCTGTATAATATTCCATTGCATGGGTGTAGCATTCTCTAAATATAACCACTCTTCTATTAATTTTGAAATGCCTACAGTAGTTATGTTTAAATTATATTATAATTGCATAAAAGTATGAACTTCAAATTGAAATGAACTAATGTTACATTTCCTCTGATGAAATATTATCTTAGATGACACTTTTGTCTGTAAGCAAACTTTAAAATATTAGAAGGATTTTTCATAGTAGAGGTACTGACTGATACCATGTTTCACACTAGAGGTCGCCAAAACAGTATTTAACACCAATAAATAAACAAGTGGTTGAAACTATTTTATAATTAGGTACCTTGAGTTTCTTATTAATCATAAGCAGGAAGGGTACCTTGTAACTGAAATGCTGAAGAAATAGTTTGGTTTGCTGTAGTTTGAAAGCAAGTAAGACATCGATAATTTAAGAGAAAAGCAAACAATCTTTCCCTTTCCATTACAAAGTTTATATTTTGGGGTTTTATATTTAGTTGAATTAATCAGTAATGTGGCATTTAAGTGATATTAAATTTGGGAAATTTTATAAAAAGAAGTTTGCTAGGCATGCCTTATTTTTCTATAGTTAAAAATATCTCAGCTTAGCTTCTCTCTTTCCATCTATTATCGGTTTCATATGTCTGAGAAGATCCAGAATGCTCAGTTTTTGGGTTTTGCCCCTAATTTGGCATATACTTCAAAAGAACGAAGGGTTCTGTACCTTTTATAATCTCTTCTGAGGCAAATATGAATGCCATGGGCATGGTATCTATAACTCCTCATTTGAGATTGTATAGGCTGGTCCCTCTCTGTTCCTTCAAGATAACATCAAACCACGAACTGGTGCAATTTTTTAAATAAGTATTTCTCAGGAGAAAATTCACAAAGGAACTTTGAAGTATTATATACATGTTCCATTTGTTACAGTGATATGAAATCTTGCAGCACTAAGAGATTAATGATTGCCATATAATAGGAACTAAATATTTATTGAATAAATAAATCCATGCACATTCATAATAGCATCTTGGGTGATAGCAAAGGATTGAAAACAACTTTAGTGCTCACAATAAAAGAATAATTACATAAACTGTGGTGTAATCTGGATATATATGGCATATCTCATCTGAATGTACGTAAGTTCCATTGAAATATGTCACTTTTTGTTCATTATATTAGCATACTGACTTACCCATCAATAGCCTCAATAAATACTTGTTGAATTAGAATATCGTTCTCACATTGGATTAGGCAGGGAGATATTCAAAATCTTAAAGCACCCCCCAGTAGCTAAAGCTAGCCACTTCAAAGTCACGACCATCTTTTACCCTAAGCCTAAGAAATGTGGCTCACCTCAGCAATCACAAATTAGAAATGAAATTTAAAAACAAGAAGAGAAATGGATGGGAAAGGCCTTCTATGCAGAATTTCAGGGATCCGATTAGCCACGTGGCTTATTATAGCCTACCGGGAGTAGACAATAATAAGGCAAGCCTGCAGGAAAGCATCTGACTTACGGCTTTCCTTTGATTTGAATTTATAAATTCAAGTGTAAGATTTGTCTAGTACCTAGGGGACATTTAACGCCTCTCGGTTTTAAATCCACCCAGGTGAGTCGTTTTGTCTTTACTTTTTAGAACCATGATGTGTATAGGAGACAGGTGAGGACAGTCTTTATCAGAGTATGGTTTCTTTCACTTTTCACAAGTTACACTTTCATAAAACAGAACTATGTTTCAAATGCGATGTGTTTTGGGGATTTTTATTCATTCGTATTAGATCTCCTTCATATGTCACCTATGAGTATTTCCTAACTTAAAGGTCCCCGAAGGATCTGTTTTGATACGCTGTGTACAGTGGCCTCAAAAGCAAATGACACAGAAGCGAACCTAGTATTTTTAATGCTGTTATTTGTTTATGGTAGTTTCAGGCCAGAGAGGAATTTGGAGGCGGAACAGACTGGCACACATGGCTGTGGCAAAGGACCAATGGTGCCATGTCCCACCTGCTCTTTTCACATTTTCTTCAGCCTGCGTAAACCACGGTGCAAATGCAGTTTCAAGTCTCCCCACTTCCATGGGATCACCTGCCTCTGAGTCTCTCTTATAAAGAAATTCTAGCATGACAGCTA